ATGGATCATATATATGTGTTTTATTTATGGCCTGAGGTTGGACTTGAGTCTAGGTAGACGCTCGAAGCACATATCTTTGAGCGTGGAAACATTCATCATTACTGTTGAGAATTTAGTATAAGCTGCAAATAATAGAAGCATACTAGTTTGGTTTTATGAATTATTAAGAGTTATAAATTTGTTCTCCTTCCATTGTGTTGTTACAGGTAAATCAAATGAGAGATCGGCAGTTAAGCTCTAGTCATCTAGACTTATGAAGGTGGAGCCACATACACTGATATCCTTTGCATAGATATTTACTAACGATCAGAAAATGTACTTAGGCAGATCGTTAATATAAATAAAGCCAAGACGACGGCCACTATCTGAGCTCTGCACTGATCCTATGGGCCGCAGAATCCTGATTGTTAACAAAACACTTCCAGGAACTTCCAAATATGAAGATATATTTATCCAAGCCTCTAAGACGAGATGTGAAAGAAAGTTTGGTTTAATGTGGGGTACGTGAGCGCATACACTTGGGCCAGGGACAAAATCTGCCCAGGTCCTGCAACCGTCGCTTGCGCTGACATCGGTATAACTACCAATCCCCGCTCTCTTGTGTAATGAGGGTGTGCAGTCTCGGGTAGCTCTTTCCCGGGACCGGTCACTTTTATTTTCTCCAGTTGAGTCTCTTTCCGCAGCCAAGAGCCACAACCGCATCGCGGTCTGCCGAGACGGCAACAGACAGATGATAATCCTACCCGCGGTGGGCCGCCCTTCCAGACTGGTGACTGCGAGAATTTTCCATAATGAAGGAGCAGAGAGCTGCCTCTGCACAAATGTTTGATTCTTAACTGGCGCCATCAGAATTTCAGTTTGTCGAGCCCGTAACCGAAGCAATATCCGAGAAAGAAGTGACTCGCTAATAGGTTAAGAAGCAGGCAAGAAAAATTAAGGGTATGCTTGCCTTCATTCAAAGATGGAATGCCACCATGGAAATTGCCAAAGATTAAATTTGGAATCCAGAGTTATTTGTGGTAATTTTTTTCTCTGCTTTGAGCGTTTCTGGTATTAAATCTGTTGCAATTAAAGAAGAGTAACCATTACATTTGGACCGACCAACGTATTGTGATTGAGTCGGAAGGAGAGCATGCCCGGGGGACTCGATTTGCAATCCTGACATATTTTGACATGCTTTGCGCAGTTCATTTACACCAGTTGTAATTGAAAGTGGCCAAGAATTACTCTTTGACCATCGCTCGTATAAACACATACATCACGCATACGTACAAACACACACACACATATATATATATATATATATATATATATATATATGTACGCTTGTTTGAACGTATGTATGTGTGTATGTATGGGATATATATATATATATATATATATATATATATATATATATATATATAGATACTGAGAAAGATCTGTCTATTTTTCTGAGATGTGAATACCTATTTACACTATTTACAGTGTTCGAACTGTTGTCCTTCATGTTTCAGTCGTTGTACGCGCCTTCCTTCTTCAGGTGATATACATTGGAATTTCGAACCGAACTCTTTATTTGGTACAAAAAAAGGTTGTGAGTTCAATACCTGGGCACAGCAGAGGTGAGTAAATCTTGCAATTTTGAGTTACTAAAATGAAAATAACTGTTCCTGAGATATACAAAAAAAAAACTCAACAAGCTTATCCGAATCCTCTGCACTCTCCTCAGATTGACGCCCCAACACTCTGAAGTGTTCGTATTGGAGTTTCCGGTGAGAATGCCAAGCAGTACGGCATGCCGTTTCCAAATTTCTGGCGGATAATTGCGTTATGGTGCTCTTTTTCTCACAAACGGTGCCCAACGGACCCTACTATAGAGTGAAGTCGACAATATCAAAAACAAACAACACGCATGCGCGACATTTTTAGCCAGAAATTTGAATGTTGTAAAAAAGATCATATATATATATATATATATATATATCAGAAATAGTTTGACACGCAGATTCACTCTACACCTTTCTGTTTGATCTCATTTAGATATTCATGGAGACCTACCGGATTCTATCCGTAACATACTTGTTGACAACACTAATGTAATAGCATTATCTACATGCAAAAAAAAAAGGCTAAAAATAATGGAAGCCTTATTAATAAAAACAAAAAAAAAAACTAATAATATTAACTATGAAGATTGACATAATATCTTGGCCGTGTTTTGAAAAAAAGAGAACATTTTATAAAGCATACATGCGACAAACAACTACTTATTTAACCGTTAAAATATTTAATCCTTAAAAATGGCCAAATGTATAACCGAAAGCGCTCAGAAAAAAAAAGAACATTCGGACTGTTTATATATAATTTATCATCTGAAAAGAAAAAAGATATTAGATTACATGAGAACTTGTATAAAAAAAAACGAAATCAAAGCACCTTGTCTGTCGTATTCAATGAAATGAAATATATATATATATATATATATATATATATATATATATATATATATATATATATATAGGTACGTCAAAAGATTCGCTAAAAGATGAGCATACATGATGAAAAAATACCCCAAACTTAATAGAAAGAAAGTTTTATCGTCAAAATTATTGTTATTATAAAGAGGAAAGAGCAAATGATATTGTCTTATATTTTTCGATCTTTTTTAGAATTCTCAAAATTTTGGTTAAAAATCTTGTTTTTTTAGCGTCAGAACATTTATCGTCCTTTTACGTCGGAAAACACATTTTTGGGGGACATTTTTTCAAGAATCAAATAATTGTCAGATTTTAATCAAACTTTTACGACTTATTTACAAATGAATGAAATTATTTGAGGACTCTTTCTTTTGTACCAAATCTCCGTAAAAATACTTTTTACACCTGTTACCCTTCCACAGCACCACCACATATGTAATTTTATGAAATTTTGTACCGTTTACTATTTATATTAGCTATCAACAGACTTGCTTGTCGAATGTAAATCATTTTTATTTGTAAAACAGGACCCCCAATTATTGAAAATCTGCTCTGAACCGTAAAATAAAAAATCCAGTCAAACTAATTCATTATTATATTAGAAAAGATTTTAATTGCTTTTATGAGTAAGATATACTATGGACGCTATTGCCTTAAGAAAAATAATTTTCGATGAATAATGAATTTTTACAAGAATTGATCTGATTTGTTTTATTAAATTTGAATTAGAACGATTTATAGAGTTATAATTCTTTTAAAAGTGCGGATTAATTTGTATGGGTTAAATGCTATTCGTATTAAGCAAAAAAGTATATTTACTCATCATAAATGGGAAAGCTTACTACAAAACAGCGACACCAAGTATTTTAAAAAAATTGTCTAACGGACGCCCACAGGAAGGGTAGTAGTAAATTTGGTATCTAAAATTCAATATGATTAGGAAGAATAATTTCCTAAAATTTACGATTTCTGAGTAGTAAAAAAACTATATAAAAATGCGTTCATGTTATATTCGTCAAGTAATTTTTCAGTCCCACGTCGAAAATATTAGTTAAATTTCCGGTTGTCAATCTATCAAGAGTTGTCAACCCCTCATAAAAACACCTCCGTATAATAATATGTTTTTCTATGAGATTTTAGAGCAAAAGTAATATTTGTTTCGAATCAGATTAATTCAAATTTAAATCAGCGAATATTCCTCAAAGTTTAAAAAGTATATTTTTTTGAAAGACGTTTTTAATAAAGTGAATTATATTGTAATGACAGATGGCTAAAATTAACAAATCTTCGCTATTAAAAAACTCGTTCTAATCAATTTAGATTTGTTTTGAAATATAGCAAAGTATTTTGCTTATTGAAAATATTAAATTTAATCTATTACCTTGAAATTAAATCTAAAAGAAAAGATTCAAGAATGTTTTTTTTATATATATTTTTATATATATATATATATATATATATATATATGGTTTTGGCTCTCGTTTTTGAAGCATGAGAACTCTTATGTAGTGAAGGAATCATATTTTTAAACAAAAAATATTATATATATATATATATATATATATATATATAGGTTTCCATGAAGATGGATGACAAGGAATTGAGATTAAGCTTTGTATTATATTTTCTTGCATTCGTACAGATGATTTCTTTTCGGAACAGAAATATATATATATATATATATATATATATATATATATATATATATATATATATATATATATTGTCATCCACATACACACTGTTTCGCTGTATCATAGATTATCATTGTGACTAGACATGCGATTTGATCAACCCTGGATCGACACCCGACCGATCTGGCATCTGTCGGAGACTCTCACACTCAGGCCATCAGGAGGATGGAAATATTTTGACGATATATATATATATAGTTATAGATATAGATATATAATTATTTTTTATAAAAAAAAAATTATAACATAAATATGTTATAAAATCACTACAAAAATAGCCATTTTGTTTCAACACCCTCGGTGTCTTATCAAGTGATGATGTTGAATATAAAATAAATGGTTTTAAAAGTTTCAAATTAATTAACGATCCGCCGTAAGGGGAAAACGTTGTTACAAAAGCTAGAATGACCAATCAAAACCCAAGTATAGGAAGATTCAAAAGCTTGACAACGAAATCATGTTATAATAGCTATTCAGATCTTTAAAATACGGGTAATATTAAAAAAGAATTTATTCTAACCAATAATTATTAAAATTGCGTTAATTTTTTCTCTGAAGCTGATAAAATAACTGGTAAAATAACGGTTCCTGACTTTAAAAGCACTGAAACTTGGAAAATTTGTTCCCAAAGTTTTTACAAAAACAACCTGTAAAACTTGAGTGGGCATCTATATTTTCAGCATTTTCGTAAAAACAACAACAAAAAAATAATTCATAACATTGGTCAAATCCAGCATTTTGCTGTTTTTGACAAAATAACATTTTGCTGTTTATGAGGAATTAAAAATTTCGCTATATTTTTTGCTGTTTAGGACAAATGAAACATTTTGCTATATTTTACAAGTAT